ATTTTCTTCCATGTGCTTGAAGCGCAGGTTGCTATGTCGACGTCGCGTCAAATAACATGCAATCTACAAATAATTTTAACAATATAGGAAAACATAAATTTAACAGAATGATTAAAACGTGAGAACAATTTTTTGACTAAAGTTATACTATATCTTTGGCACAAAATTTTTAGATTAGCTTGATCTTATTAATAACCTGCCATGGATAAATCTTCGTCTCTTTTAAGTCTTGAAAGTAGTATTTGATAGATTTCGCAGAACTCAATTGCAAAATATTAGCAAAAAGTGGGTATTCTTCCGAATAAGACATCCCTCCGATCGAGATAAAACTTTCCAGACAATATTGTTACAATGTATAATCATTATTTATGAAGATCCTATCTTCGGGTTTTGTGTAGATTATAAAATAAAAAATAAAAAAGTTTACAAAATCTCTTTGCTTTCACTCACCTGTAATCTAAAATAAAGATATTTTGATATAACAATTATTGGCCAATCCCCGGGTAAACTCGAACTATCGCAGTTATTAAAGAAGAAAAAGTAGCTCTGCAAACTACTACATCCGAAAAATTAAAAATTCAAACCTATAGTAACGCGACAATCCGGTGTGAATGCTGTAGGCATCCGTCCTCCCTGCGGGGAGGCTCCACTACGTTAAAAATAACTTAACTCGACCTATAATTTAGTATAAAATAGCTCTCGCTTCGCGTGAAAAGTCGAAATGTAAAAATATTGTCAGTAATAATTTCTCTTTCTTACTTTTTATTATTTGAACTATAAAAAACTTGAAGATAGAATCTTCATAAATAATCACTATACATCGTAACAATATTGTCTGCAAAGTTCCAACTTAATCGAAGAGATGTCTTATTTGGAAGTACAGCCCAAAAAGTTTATACTCTGTCATCAAACTGTAAAATGCGTAAGTGAAAAGGGCTATGTTAATATTAAGATCGGTCAAGATGGTTCTTCGTGCCTAATCATACATCATTAGACTGTGTGATAAATAAAATTATGGAAAAATAAAGTTCTTTGAGAAAGACAAAATTTCTTTTTTTTAAATAGTAATAAAAGTAAAAGTATGTAATTAACTATAAAGCACGTAATCTTGTTTTAATTTTACTAAAATCTCAATTTATACTTTTCAAACTTATTAAACTTTATTTTACAATTGTAATAACCCTTTGTGCCAACTTAAAATTTCGCGTGATACGGATTGTATGAAAAAATATTAACTATACAACATTGATAATTTCTGCATATTTTCCTCTTTGCCATGTAGAAAGCATCGGTAAAAGTAACTTGTAAAGTACGGTGGTCTTTACTTCTAAATCTAGAAAAATTTTCTCTATAAACTCGTGCATGTTTATTATCCTGTCGTTTATCACCCAGGCTGTTCCATGTCATGGAACTAAGTGTCCATGGGAACACCTCGAGCATCTTATAACGATTAATCTTCTCAAGTTACGAATAATAATGAAAGTGTAACGAGAGTGTAAGGAGAGTGTAATGGCATTACTAATCGCAGGTAAAATCGCAGTCCTGTCGAGACTGAGCGTCGCCATTAAAAGAGATTATCAATGCTATGAACTACTATTAAAAATATTACCACTTAATATTTCAACATGTATATTTTTAGCAGACATTTTTAGATTGTAATATAATCAAAGAGGATGCATTCCGCATAATACTAAGCTACTATTTTTTTATTTCTATCAAAAAATTCACATGCAATTCATCTATACATTTTAGATTTGCGCTTTCATTACATTTCACGGTTTATCTGGAGACAATTAATTTCCATCAAAAAGAGGACTCTTAACAATTGCTTTATCCGTGTCAAAGCAATAGTATTCATTTACTAATACTTCAGCTTGGGGCACATACTAATTTTGTATTTTAAATTATTATGAAATAATTGTGAACAAAATATTTAGCATTAAATAAAGCAATTATTAGGTATTTGAAAATTGATTATTTTTAACAATAATCTTATATAACAACATTTTTTGTTTTAGAGAAAAAATAAAATGTATATCTTACAGCGTTTTCCACTGGAAAATACAATACTGGTGCATACCGAGTGCAGATGAATATAAATTAATTTACATATTTTTAATGTTAACAGTTTAACCTTTTTAATTACATATTCTTTGTTATCACAATAATATCACAACCTTAAAAGGATTAAATTAACACTGAAAATATGTAAACCAATTTATACTCAATTGCATCAGTGTTGTACTAATTTTTCATCCAATGAAAAACACTATATTGATGTCAAAATGGTATGGTATTAAACAAGATTAATTAATTCTTAAATGATTAATTGTTCAGCTTTCCGCGATAAAGAGAAAAATATTTGTATCACAATATCGAGATTGTGAAAGTAGAATAAAGCTTGCGTCAGAATAGATAAATTCATTCAGGATCCATTCAATTTAGAAAATTAATTAATGACTTATACGAGGAACTTTATGAATACGTTGAAAAAATCCGTGTATGTTCGAAATAAGCAAATCATAAATGATAGAACAAAATTTTCCACCGTGATATTAAATTACACCTATTACTATAATAATAATTCCTATTTTAAGATACCGATACTCGGAGGGAAAAATAACATCTCTGCTGTTGATATTTCCAGTGCATTCAATCAAGTGCGCGTCTTTTGATTCGATTTTCGATACTATAGACCGATTAAGAGACACGCACAAACAGTGAATACACGCATACGCTTTCGAGTGGGCGTACGTATACAGAAGTATACTAGAAAGTAATTTGAAAGAAAAAAAAGAGGGTAGTTGGTGGTGACGGTAGCTGTGAGAGGTTTTGCACGTGAGAGCATTGGCGGCGTGCCATAGAAACGGACTGACCCACTTTTAACGCGTAGATTGACCCGCCTGGCGCCATTTTAACTTTAAGCCGTCGAATAGTCGCCACTCTTGATTCCAGTCTTTCCAGGTCGCCGCGAATGGATTGTTCAACCCTAAAAGAGACCTGGCATTTTCTGATAATTTTCAGCATGATGCAATTAGAGCGGAAAAAGGGGATGTACAGAGATTACTACAATTTAAAAGTCATCTTAAAAATTTTTACTCTTCGATTTCAATGCGCCTCACGATTTTAATTATAAAAAACTGAATTCGCAACCCTTATTTAATTCAATATTATATGAACATATTAAATCATTTATGTTGCGACTTTTCTGTAATTGCAGATCAAATTACAGTTGATAAAATTATCTTGGAGAAATATATTTAACTGTTTATTTGATATAATTGAGAAAGGGTAGTGCGAGTCTATGCATCGGACACATATAAAAGGAATACGAAGGAAAATCAATCTAAACGTCTGTATAATTGAAGTCGGTGCTGTGCACTAATCAAATTTCCGCGGTTGGCCAACTAACAACCTACGTGTAAACTTTCCAGACAATGTGTGCAACCCGTGCATATAGTTCTTGCTAGCAGCTCTATGCAATTTCCATGCGATCCGAATCAATAAAGTGGATATAAATATCCTAAACAATCTATTGTTTCCCGAAATCCTTATTAATACTGCTATTAATATTTAAAAACAATCTCGATTAAAAGAGAAGCGAAACGAAAATTAAAAATTTCCATGTTTAATTATTGCTGGAAGCTACAATTGTTTTCTGGCAAATAGTTTATATATAATATATTGAAGCAATAAAGCGATGAAATGACGAGTTATTATTAGTTTTATAATTAATAATTCAAAATAATCAATTCAGAACGATCGATTCTGTTTATACCCCGCGTTTCTGTAATATTTAAATTGTATTTTTACGTAAAAGCGCGGCGAGACACACACCGTAAGATTAACGTAGCTTGAGAAATTTATGGTAAAGAGTTCCGGCGAGCTGGTATCATTTCATTCCTTTTAACGATCTCAAGAATTATAAAATCTGCAGACATTTTTTCGAATCGGCATGTATTATGCAAGTCGAGAGAAAAGTTCTTCGGTCCTCTATTGAAATGTCGTAGAATGAAACTTAGATAGGGGCCATTTTTCATTGACAATACAGCAATCAGGCTTCTCTGAAAGAGCAATTTTCTGCAAAGCATCATTAATATTTCTACTAAAAATTGAGAAAATATATAAATTGAGAAGACTTTTGTAAAACTCGGAATTGTTGTAATATTGCCAGTTTTATTGCATTTCTTATATATGTGCATGCATATCACTTTTTACTCGAGTATGTATGTATGTATATATATATATAGTATATAGGTATATTGGGAAGATGCTGTATATGATTATCATGACCGAGTTTACTGAAATATTCTGATGTATTTCAACTCTTTGTGTGATAAAATTTTTGATAAATCTGAAATTATTTATATAAACACATAATCTGAATTTGAAGGTGCAAAAAAATTGAAAATTTATCTTTTTATTATATGTATATATCGACTAGCTTTAAAGTTAAATTAGAGATAGCTCATAGTTTTGGTTATGATTGCTTTTCAAGACTAAAAATAATTTCGGCGCGCAATTTACAGAATTGGATATGAATATAAATTCATACCGAAAAAATATTATTTAAACACTAAAATTCAGCTTAAACTGTTCAAGTTTTTGTTATTCAATTATGTATTCTCATAATTTCCGGTTTTAATAGATTTTGTTCAAATTGTATATGAATCTTGTGTTAGACTAAAACTCTATTTATAATTTTATATGCTCTGTATATTCTTATGTGAGTGTTTTAAATAAATTTCATATATGTTGAATTTTTTAAACGTTTATCGTATTGCATGACATAAAAATATAAATAGAATTTTATCCTACAGAATTCTGACGCAAATTATTATAGATTGTCTAAAGTGAGCTCAAGTTATAATTATCTCTAGGATAACATGAGATTGAAATTTTTTTTTAATAGAAATGTGATACCCCTAGCAGTTATTAGAAGTGCAGCTTAATATGTTCTAGAATATCAATTATTATCTTTAATTATTGTATTTTTTCAGATCTATCCGATAGAGGTAAGAAAAAGTTTGGCGACGATTGTCTGGTGGACAAAGAATGCGGCTTCGCTGGTTCCTATTGTGAACCAAAGAAGAACAAGTGCGCTTGCAAGGAAGAATTTGAAGCCACGAACCATATCGACAAGTGCGGACACGGTAAGTTGGTACGCTTATTCTGGTATTCTTGGTATTCTATATATATATATATATATATATATAAAATATATGAAAACCTCCAGGGAGAATCTCAATTCATAGGGAGAAAATTGAAGTGGTCTCTCTTTCACGGAATCTCTCAGCTGCAGCATTATGAAATAGCGTCGCCTGTCAACATTTTATTAATGTTACGACAGCATATAGTTATTCGAAAGAAATTAAATGCTGTGTTAAAATATTAATGTAGTATGTGTACGAAATAATGTTTAGCAAATAAAAAAATGTTACTCTGCAAGAGAAGTAACACAGCAGCACAGCGCGGCACATATGGGATTAATTTCCATACGCGAATGCACTTGCTAGCTAAATGGGCTGGTGCTATCTCGATCGAGAATAATTCTATTTCCTTCTTGGCTAAGTTACCATATCCATTAACAGCGATTTCGTACATGATATCACATGGTAAACTGTGCAAATCTCACAATCAAACTAGTCGACCCGATTATATCGTTGCGCGAGTAAACTATAATGCTGAAGCTCAAGATTATGGTACGCATGAGAAATAAATTCCATTCCATTAATGAATTGACGAATGATTAAAAATTGAAAAAAAGAATCTTTAACGTATTTAGCAGAAAAGTTCTTACATAAGTTATCTATATTGTGTAAATACAATAGTTTAGAATATCAAATAATTTCTTGATTCTCAGAATAAACACTAAATTTAAGAAAAATTTATTTGTCTATTGTATAGACAATTTTAAATATACACGCGCAAGTATAATAATTTATATTTTAGACTTTAGAGTACTTCTCTAAATTCTGTTTTACAGGATATTTATAGAATTTCTCATTCACATTCCACGATATCACGGCGAATGTATTCTGAATACTATTTTAGCGGCGAACGTGAACGAGTCCTGTTTCTTCCACGAGCAATGCGAGGCGCGGGTGATCCAAACGGAATGTCGCGATGGTCGATGCATCTGCCTCTTCGAGAAAGTCCCGATGACGCAAGGAGACGGTGTAATAACCTGCGTAGGTAAGGAACGGAATTTTCAAGAAATGAGGACATTATAGAATTTAGCTTTAATGAAAATCTTATCATGCCGACACGACTTCGATATGATTTGATGAAAATTGAAAGAGACGGAATTAATGAAACTACTTTTTAGTAATGAAATTACTTCTCTCATTTGCTCGATTCCAATATTTTTCGCATGTCAAGAATATTTTCCTTGGATGAAAACGTAGAAAGACAAAAATAAGAAGTTTAGCTATAAGGCATAATAATCCTGGAATGTTATATAGATATTAAAAAGAATAAAGAATATTTATACAACATTCGAAGAACATCGTGTGCTTATATAGGGACGGAATGTTGCGGTTAATGATAAAAAAGATGTCTGTTCAATTCATATTCTTTATTAAATAGCAACTTTCATCGCTTTTATTTTTTAACAATAAGCATCAAATAATATTCAAAATTATCAATAATGAATCAACAAAGTTAGTGAATGACAGTTCGTAAATGCATATTCTTTGTATTCACAAAGAATCTATCACAACTGTCTGGAACCGATTGAATTCTTCTCAAAATATGTTGTTAAACACAAAAATTTAAGTCACGTATTTTTTTATATCAGCATATCTCAATTTGCGATTTTAGGTATAAAACAATCCTTTAAAATTTACTGGAGAAATGTGAGTATATATTTTCAAAATATTAGACTTTTGGAAAATGCATAGGTACATAATTATAAAAAATATATATAAAAACCTATAAAAGTTTGTTTAAAACATCTTTCTATCTCACAAAAAATCAGTCGTTTTTGTTTTATTGATAATTCATTAGAATTAAATTATAAGTTTGTTTCAATTTTTAAATCTAAAATTTGACCGATATAAAAAATACTCGTGTTTTAGATTGTTATTTAACAACGTATTTTAAGGAGAATCGAATCAGATAATTGTAACGAGTCCCTTGATAATATGTATATTCTTCTCCTTGTAAGTTCTCTATTCCATCCTATCAATAGTACGGTACGGGTTTGACTTTTAATTCCTTTGGGGCATGTGGGATTTAATTTACGAGCTTCTACTTCCGCGGTCCCTGGTGCAAACCAACGAATTTGTTTTCAGCCGAGGTCAAACAGACAACCAGCCTCCGGTACATCGATCCAGCGATGATCGGCGTTCTCATTGGCATGGCACTGATGTTTGTCATCATCTGCGTCGTTCTTAGACTTTTTAGCAAGTAAGCAGTTTGATTGAGCGTTACAAATAATTAATATTTATTATCAGGGAATGGAACTAAATCGTTATATGTAACGAAGAGTTACAGTTACTTTTTTAGTAACTTTATTAGTAATTGCGTTACTTTTTTTTGGTAACTGTAACGGTAACGTAGTTACATTTTTTGGATAACGGTAACGAAATTTATAGTTACGTTTAGCATTATTTTGCATACGATTAGACACGTTATTCCATTATGTAACAATTACATGTTATTAATTTATACGACAGCTATATAAATGTAGTTGTAGGACATTGAGTGTTTTTATTTAATACAGGCGTACAAGCTACATTTAGTTTAACTTATTTTAAACATCGTACACATTTTGTTCTAATTGAGCTGTGTACAAAGCTTTACTCTGTACATTTCCGTGTACATTTATGTTGAGCAATTGAAAAACACCTCTTTTTGCAAAACTTCTGTTATGTATTTTAATTATAGCGTTATAATTTTCTTTCTATCAAAATATTTGATTTACAGCTAAAAGTATAGATTAAGTAAAATAATATAGCTGTAATATAGATTATGTGTATTTCTTAATTTTCCTTTTAATCTCTAACTTATATTGTGTGATTTAGATAATCCTATACAATTCTATATAATCTTCTAGTTTTCTACAAAGTATAAAAAAGTTCATGAAATATTTTAGCTATCAACTGCTGTAGCGATCCTGGAGTGAGAAATACCAATACAATACCATTATTTCAGGAATTATTTTACACTTCTATCTTCTATGTGATACACCGGATATATGTATATCTCAGTTTGCTGCATATTTTACAGGTTTTAGAATTACGAAAATTTGTGTTTAAAAAAAAACTATACGTAGTTTTATTTTTTTCATTTGGTAACGAGCAGCTGTAACTTGTTGCTTAAAAAAAAATAACTTTCCATTCCCTGCTTATTATTTACATATTTTTTTAAATACTGTTGTTACAAATAATCTTGTATAATTTGTATCAAAATAATGCACGCAAAGACTTCGATTAAGTCTGAAAATCTCTTTAACGCGACCTAATTTCAATAAATCTCTTGCATATCATTCGTAAATAATTAATATGTTAATTTGAGTTTAATCGTAAGCTGAAATTAAAATTGTGCTCTGGTGACAACTTTAATTGAAGTTGTCAGAATTTGAGTTATCCGAATTTATAAATATGCATTTAGCTCAGATGACTATTGTTTTATTCAAGAAATTGCAATGTCGACGAGTGTGTTGGGTAAAATAATCGCTTATTTGTAAAACATTTCCATATAGATTGTAATATGCCAGTACGTGGTTTAACTAGAAATAATACAGTATTATTTTATGGTACTATTCATTACGCGAAATGAGTTCTTAGAACGATTTAGCCTTTGTAAAATCAATCTCGATTTTACAAAACTATTGCTCAATTATTAATATACTACTATATCTATTAATATCACTGGGTCAATTTTAAGTAAAATTGTAAGCCTCGTAACTTGTTCTCGTAAAACTTGTAAGAACTTACATCTGATTATTTGTAAGTATTATAATTATTTGTAAGTATCTACAATTTCTCGTAACTCTTATACGGCTAACAAGAAGCTGTCTGTAAAGGTATTGCATAAAGTTTTATGTTAAATTCTTACAAGTCTTAAAGAAACACGCTACGAATTTTACGATTTTGTTTAGAATTGATTTGTTTGTTTCTAGAATTTCTCATCTCTCGTATAAAAAACGAGATTATGTATAATTAGAAAAAAAAGTTATGTATAAAAATTGTCTATTTTTAAAGTTGAAATAAAAACATCACTATAACTCATGGAGAATGTTTGTGTAACAAGATAAAAACATTTTTAAATATAATTGGAAAATTTTAAGAATCGCTATATAAGTATACCTTCAACTTTATATATGTACTGTAAAAACTTAACCATACGAAAATAATTAGACTATTGGCAAAAAAGTGAAAAAAGTATCTATCTAGCGAACAGTCGATCTGTTAATTATGTGATACGATGTGGAATTGCAGTGCTCGCTGGCGAGAGAACCGCACTATCTTTAATACACCCAACGCTCGATTGATGAACGTCTCACTGCTGAGAGAGAACAAACTCTTACACACTCAAGAGAGACGCGGTTCGAGAGCAAGTGTACGAGCTCCATCGAGGCAACCCTCGATGGTATCTTTGAGGGCCCATTCACCGAACGCCTCGCAAGGTGCGAAACACTCTCACCACTCACAGCACAGAATGAGCCGTATGGGTTTTTCATTCACTTACTAAGCAAGCAACTTGTTATTCAAAGCCCTGTTCAGATAGAGCAAGCGACTCTTTCCTATCCATTTCGCGATATTTCTAATGCAGCTTCGTGAAAATCGATGAGTCCGATGAAGAAAGTCAGTTCTAACGATCTGTGAGTTGAGATAAATTGATGAGAGAAATCTTTAATTTAATTCAAGATAAGAATTGACGTAAACAATTATACGAGAGACGCGGTTAAAAGGTTTTTTTAGTTTTATTTTTTAATTAAATATAAGTAAAAATTGTCTATAGTTATATTTTTGTAATCGTTCTATATTATTATCGCGTTATATCATATCCCGATCCCTTTACTTATGACTACTTCGACTTATTTTCGAATTTATGATCAGTATGTTAGGAACAATTGAAGAGTAAGTTGAGTCAAAATTAAAATTAATCTACATTAATGGAAACGGGCATTACTTTTTTATGTAATCTTTTGTAATTATTCATGTCTAGTAATATAAATATTATTACTAACAGTGATCGTAATTTTGATATGGCTACACGTTGTACAATTTATAATCAATCAGTGATATATACGACAATCAATTAGTGATGTAAAGTTTTTTTCTTTACTATTATTAAGAATAAAAGAATATGAAAATATACGTTAATATTTGTATGATTTGTATATAATAATGTTTTGAAAAAAATAGTTTTACCTTACATCACATTAGGAACAAATGAATACAACGTTTTATAAAAAATTAAATTATTATTAAAAAATTTACAGTTATTTTTATTATTAATTATAAATGTACTTTATATATTTTTTAAATTTTTATTATCACAATATTTTGTATCATGTGTAATTAATTATATTGATTGTTTTTACCTATATATGTAGATATCCTCTCTTTGTTTCTGGAAATTTTGTTATACTCTGTCGAACATTTTATAAATAAATATGTAAATTAATGATTGGCAAGCCATGTTATTTTGCATAGTAAAATTGTAATATATGTGAAAGCAATTTTGCATATTTTCTCTCGACTTAATCAAGTTTTTATTGCCAAAGGGATTAGGATACCCCGGACACATTTATAGATAATGTTTGCATGGTTTGCGTGTGTAGTCGCATAATTTGATTAGATTGCATAAGCGTAAATACTCCATCATACTCCATCTAAGAGAATTTCGAAAGTTCTGTCTTTTGAAAGACAGAACTTGGAGAGTTGAAGTACATCGATTTTCACAAGACTGCGTATGTATTATACATACAAGTATCCATATTTAAGGGTGACTATATATTTACTTATCTGTCTACTTTTATGTAGAAGAGCTCTTTTTATGCTCCTTGATGCAGAATCTTCTCGTACTTTACGCATGTACAGTCGTCTGCCAAGAGGGTAGCTAAACCGAATCGAAGAGTAATTATTCTTTTGCCAACATTAGAATTATTAAGTATTAATGTATATATATATATATATACATTTATAACACGAAGTAATATTTTTAACTTTAATGTTTTAATTAAAATTAATTTAAAAATATATTATTTTTTTAATTGTAAAATTCGAATTACTATATTGTGTATTGTCTTTTATTTTATAAATTAAATTTATTTTGCGTTACGTGTGACCGTATATAAATGTAAATAATATTTATTATATATCCAGCTATATTATAATTTTTCATTTAAGTAGTTTCTCAATTTAATTTAATTTAACGTTCAAGTTGGCACAGCAATCTTGATTTAGCGTCAAAATATATTTTAACTCTCTTTGCAGTCAACGTTTAAAGTAGTTGTCCTTAAAGAAATCCCAACTGTGATCGTCGTTCTTGACTATTCGTTGTGAACTGAGGTGCTCTATTGTAAAAATTCTTTCAATGCGACATGATTTCTTAAGAGGGCATATCTTTTATTTCTTAACAATTTTGCTTCTATGTACGTGATCTGTTTTGCAAAAATAGAACACAGCTACAAATCGACTAGAGTTTATAATCTTATAGATACAATCCAGTGTTATATTGAATAATATAGACGCCCTATTGAGGATTCGTTGCAACTTCAATTTAGTAACTTGTAAGTTATACTAGAAGAAGTTTCTTGTAAGCATAGTCTATTGAAATTTGCGAATATAGTTGCTTGCTATAGTAAAATATCGTTGTTTGCATTTGCACGGTACTTCATTCATAGACGCATCATATTCGTCGATAGTAATTAGTTACATACTATAGAAACATTTAGATGAGAGAAAGCATAGATGTCCATATATTATAGTATCGAGAGGGAATAAGAACATTCTAATATTAAATAATTTTTAAATTTCACCGAATTTACCTATTTTTCATAATTTTGTTGTACATGAGAAATAACAAAAAGTTGTCTTTTAATTTAGTTTATGCGCATTTCTTAAAAAGTTTCTTTTTTATTCCCTCTAACACAAAAAGTAGAGACGTACATAGCGCAATTCATGAACTATTCAAATTTTAATGCGCAAAGTGCACTTATATTTCACGTTTTCGCATAAAGTTCATAAACACGCTGAGGCAGCCATTAAATTTGCAATAATCTCATGAAATACTTCCTTTTATTTTATACAATGAAGATCATCTTCTTAGATAGAGTTAGTTAACTCTCTCTCTAAAACAATGTGCTGCACGGTGAATTGAATTTCAGTAAAATTTGTCATTTTCAATCGTTGTACATAAATGACTGTTTTAGGAATAAATTGTTGGTTCTTGATTGCCTTATTAATATTTTAATTTTTAAATCAAATATTGATTTTCCAATAGTAATTTACTAAATTACAATGCAAAAAATGTATTAAAAATAAATGTATTTGTAATGATTTAAGAAATAAATAAATAAAAGTATCTACATAATTGTGTACTTTAAAGAAGAAAAAGTGCATATATAAAGAAATATCCTGATAAAGCACATTTTGCCGAGTACCATTCAAGCGTTCAAATTTGTTCGCTAGAAAAAAAAATGTATAGCATGCTCGTATTCATTATACATACCGTATACGAGGATGTGCGCGCGCGCGCGCGCGCATTCAGACACATGCATTCACCCGACGTTGTGACGATTGACTATTTTGCTCTGACTAATGCATTTCTTCCGCGCAGGTCTTCATGCTTAAAGTTATTCTGGCTTTTCGTGTCGTGCTGCCGCGCTGTCGTGCCAAAGCACGCGATACTTTAGCAAGAAAATCTCTGTCGCCAGGGTCACGCACAGGATCGCGACGTGGGAGCCACAACAGCAGCGGGAACGCTTCGGCAGCCTCGGTGAAATCTAATAAATCTCCGAATCATACGAACAACGTCACCGACCCGATCCTGATGGAGAACGTCACCGTCGAGATTCGCAACGCGAATGCATAAAATAGGACCGTCTTAGCACAAACGATCTGATCGACAACACATTCCCGTTTATCACTAGCCCAACGTAGATTAACGCGGCGCTACACATCGCATAGTTCGCCGTCCGTAAATAAATCTTCGACCCGCGCGTATATAAATTGGCCCGCTCCGCGTTTCCGTTCAATGGGCTGAGAAACGAAAATTTAACGTTCGATAATGCAAATATCATTGGTAAATACTTCGCCTAGATAAATCGTGACGAAATACCGACAGCTTGAGCCTGACGTCGAGATCTCGACGTGATCGAGGTATAAATTATCAGTAATTGGGATCGCCTAAGTACCTATTGATGCTGCTTTAACAATAGTAGGAGAACCATCCGGTTAGATTAATTGCGAGGAGTCTTTTCAGTGTGTTTCTCTTTTGATATAATTCGATATTCCTCTATTTAATAGAATTAAATAGAACGTAATCTAATAGAACGTAATTGAATAATCGTCAAGAACGTTGATTTTTGTTTAACTTTCTTATTTGCTGATAGGATGTTAAATCGGAAAGCCATCTCACAGAAATAGAAAAGATAGAACATAGTTGATTACAAGATAGACTTAAACTATCAGAGTAATGAAACGCCTATTATGATGTTTTTAGAAATAGCAGCTGTAACTCAAAACTGACCGATTAGTGATCGTATGATTACATCAAGTTTAATCGTTTATATCAACTTGACGGAATGCTAATGAGCTGTCTTAAGAACAGAGAATTGTTTAGCAAAAAAGCGGTTCGGTACACGCGATCCAATATGTTGTGAAATATCGTATAAAATATTTCGGGAGAAACTCCGTTTGAAGAATATTATTAAAAAGAAGATCAAAAAGAAATCGGTTCAATAATACTTAAAGTTGAGAGAGATGAAAATTATCATATCTCTTTATATACTGTGACCATGCAATTCTGTCGTTTGTTCGATTATCAATGCAGTTTTTCATGCCGTTCATTTCACAATAATTGTTTTTAATCGTTTCAGGAATCAAAGCGCGCCAATGTGACATTTGCGGCAATTATCGAAACATACCTGTAATGCAAAACGCCCTTCGGACCAAGCGGTTGTTATATTAATACCGCATTCGATCGAATTCTGTTTAATGGGAATGTATGTAACATGCATAACAAGTAATTGATGTATGCTAATATTCAGTATATCAGGCTTGCATAGAGAATGCAATACACGTAAAGTATCTCGCAAATGGTACATCGAGAGCGAATATATTCAGTGATATGACATGGTCCGTTAGAGTGCTATTTCATTCGTGCGTTTTTATCAAATACAAATGTGTATAGGACAGAGACATCCTCTCTGACCTCTCTATTCTGTAGCCAATCAACAGGCTTGAAAAATTTGTACGACAAAAATTTTCACGAATGAAATATAGCGCACTCTTAAGGAAAAAGTTATGGAAAATAACAATTACTGCGTAAATTATTGTCGGTCCATATACAGCTATAACTAGAAGTTCTCGTTACTCTTAAGAGAAAAATATAAGCAACCAAAATAAAGCGATAATTAGTTTTCTTCGACTAGTGCATAACCAGTCGATTCACAAATCATATTAAGGATTGAAGCGAGGACAAGTCATTCACAGCGTCGATCGATATGATCAGACGCGTATGCCTTTTCCCTGAAAGTTTTTTTTCGGTATGCGACGCCGCAGCATCGAGACGCAGCAGGACGATCATCACGGGGGATCAACGATTATTAAATCTTTTACATCGAAAACGACGCTGCGACTCGATCGACTCGGCGATAAGCCAACACGAAAGGGACCAGAGCAGACAGAGTGCGACGCACGTTTTCGGAGGTGCGAAGTTGAAAACGAAGTGCGTTGCCGGATTCGCTAAGACGGTGCCACGCGGAGATGATGAAGAATACATCTGATAAATATTAAGCCACATACAATCATAAGCGTAGCACAGAACGATGTATGTAATTACATTAATTAAATGTAATCAGCACGAGTAGACGACATTTCCTCGAGGTGCACGCAGAATTTTCCTAGAAAAAAGATACCGCTTGAGAATATAAATTTTCTTTTATCGTAAGAGAAATTTGTTAATGTTTAGAAATTCTTTTTGCCTACTTTGTATTCACATTAAATATTAGCGGGGAAAACTAGAACGCATTAGAAAATTTGAAAGAGAAAGAGAAGAAAGAAGTAACGAGTTCCTTTTAAACAAGTGTATATCTTATTACAAGATATAGATATATACGCATACACAACATATTATCAGAAAAATTGAAGTAGCTGCAAGAATCAGAAAACTCTAAAAAATTTTAGAGAAACTTTATTCAAGGAATTTTATTTTAAGAAAAATTTGTATCTTTCTTGAAAACATGTTGCCGTTTCACGGTTTTCGATAGAAAGCCACATATGAGGTACTATACCTGCGTTTCTTTCAAATTAAATGAGCGAAGAAAAGAATAGAAGACACGTACTTTCTACTTTGTCTCATATATGTATTACAATAACGTTTAGCATTATATGTAGGATAATACTTACACAATAGAATCATCTCTTCTCGCAGCCAAACTTATCGCTAGCGCTAAATTCGAGAGTAATTAAATATACGATCGGAATTCGAAATCTGACATTTTTGATAAATTAGATTCATTGAACCTGCAGATGGAAATGTACGTCGAGCTCGATGTTGACGCAACATCGGCAACGACCAGTGGTTGGAATTAATAGCTTTCTCTTCATTGGCGACGAGAAGCAAGAGAAAGAGGGGTTGAAGAGATAAAGAATATATTAAAAGACATAATTCTTTGAAAAAAGTAGGCATCAAAAGATGAATCTAGTTTGTAGCGGTCCAAAGAATACTCTCATATAATCCAAGTTCTAAGACTTAGAATAAGTAATTTAAAATCACATAATAATATTGCTAATTATATCATGAGGTTTGTCGTTTATATTATCGCTTTTGCCTCCTACAACTCCTCTCTTCTCTGCGATAAGCGTTTCATCTCGTCAAATTTTGTCCATGCGACACATCTTGATTGCTAGAAAAATCCTCTTACCTTCTTTTATTGTATAATAAAATAATAATAATAGCATTTGTACCATTGGTGAATGTTTCGTGTGGATTTGTAGGGTTAAACGGAAATCTGTCGAATCCTTATGTCTGGTGGAAAAGAATCTCTTTGTTTAGAGCGACCAAAAAGCGCGATTACATTTACACACAAGTTTCGACACAAAGTACGCGACTTTATACGCGAATATCATATATCTTATTGTTAATCACACAAGAATACATTTCGATATCTCGAAAGCTTGCGTAATGTCTGTACGCGATAAAATTGTGAGGGCAGACGAGTGATCGTATAGCCCAGAACGATTGTATCTCAACAATTTAGTGCCTGCGCTGTCGCGTTCCTAGAGATAGATCTAAATTTATCGACCATTTATTACGCGAGAATATATACATATAATATATATATATATATATATAAAGTATACATATATACATTTACGCACGCACGTGTAATCGTGCGAGAGAGAATCTATAAAATATATTGATAAATGCATATATACACGATTATGAAAGCTTGGCACTATCTGCACTATCTGTAGATTACATCTGTAACGCCTAGCAATTGTCTCCACTCTGTGATCCGTGTGCAATACGTAGCTGCGATTATTCTCGCGGTCATTATCGTGATTATTAATTGTTATTGTCACACTACTGTCACTATTGTTATTATTATTATTATCATTATAGTTGCTGTCGCTGTTACAATCACTCCCACGAGGAGCGTCAAGCAAAATGACTCGCTTAGGATATATATTACCGCCCCGCACCTGACATCGTCCGCGTTTAAATTCGTCACTATCATGACATGCATCCTATCGCGGATCAAAGCATTGTTATACCATGTTACTGATAGTACTTTTAACAACAGTGGGAAGCTGCGACATCGCGTCGCAGCGAGACTCACTATAAAAAAAAGGATGCGTGCGTGCGTGATTTGTATACTTGATCAGTATATCTAATAGATAGCGATCATAGATCTAATGACGTTTGGAAACATGAAATCTAGCGCATAAGATTGAGTGATTTTAATTAATCGGATCGTTGACTGACGTCATTGTCGTAAAATCGGGACGATCTAGAAACGAAATTCGGGGAAGGTTTCTGTTCCGGGATCGTTCGCGATTTCGTGTCGTGACGTTCTTCTTTTAGAGTAAGTAATAGTTATACAGTAAATCTAACGAGAGCACACTTATACACATACGATCGCCCAAAATGATCTGCACAAAATCTATAATAAGTATAGATTTTTCAAGCTTCAGGATAATTATCTAGGCTAGTTTTGACGCTTCGACGATGCGGATATGATATTCTAAGATACACTTTAATCCGATATCACTTATCGAGAGTATATTTTCGCGAGCAAGTTGGCGCACAAATCTTTTTCTCTACTCTTGAAGAAAGAAGTGAAGGAAAGGATGGAAAAGGAGGAGCAAAACCGGAACAAGCAGAGTGCCTATTCTTTATCACTCAAAAACGCTCGCTCACTTTTGTAAGTCTATAACTCTAACGAGTAAGAAATTAAATAACTTTTTTGCACACTCTACTCTTATCTCGACAAAAGATCGATGATAATAAATATTAAATGACATTTTCTAGTGATAGATATTTTATAATGTCATAAATGATTTTTCTCATTTGACAGATCGATTTATTCGGTGATGAACAAATAACACTATACGTAATTGCGACCTCTTGTTAGAATTAATATTTTGTTTTATACACAACATGTCTCAGAGTATAATCAGGTAGTTTTGATTTTAATCATTAGCTCACAAGTATTCGCTAAACAGTTTATAAACGAGAGAATAGATTTTAGCAAGTTTGTGCGGTATCTAAAAAGTGTTTTGCATTGCGCATTACCGCGTGCCAAACCGATTCACTATCATTAATCAACGGATTCGCAACTGCTAAAGCAGTCACAATCTTTTCAACGACCAAATTAATCACAATGATGACTGTAGATTAGGACAGTCGAAATTTTCTTGACATCATAATGAGGAATAGATAATATAAATATCGATCATACAAGGAGGAACGATGCCGTGATTCAAATATGGGGAAGTGTTTGGATCATCGCCCGTTCCTAAAAAAATATTTCACAGGAAGGATCGAATGCGAAGAAAATTTCAAACTAATAATATATTATTATTTATTGACCAATATATAGTCGCGATTAAAGAAACGCTATCATAGAAAAGATAAAAAATTAGCTTCTAATTAGGCAAAGCTTGAAGACTTTCAGAATAAGATACCTCTTTGATATCGACTATAGTTTCACTCTAGTATCCCACGAATATCTGAACTGTCGCGTATGTGCTCAGATTAGAGATTACTGCACCTCGAAATTACGATTACCGTTAACGATCTCCATTCTGTGAGAAACAGTGACGAATAATTAACGCATTTGGTACAAACTACGGTTACTTCGACGAGGAGCACACAAACAAGATCGTATCTTTTAACGATCTCAAAAAAAAAAAAAAAAAAAAA